GGCGGGGCGTGGGCAGCGTGAGCACGTTTCTATTAATTTCCATTTGCCCGCCTCTAATTGTTTTCGAGAGTGCAAGTTCTCGATCAGCACAGTCCACACGTATCTAGCCGTATCTATCCTTCACTTCTCTATCTATCCCTCCTTTTTTCCCTCCTACCTTATCGCACTCAGGGACGCGATCGTCACGGAAAGATGTCGCAGAGGAACTTCCCCCTCTGATGTCATCGATACCGTGTGTCCGTGTGTGTCGGTGTGTGTGTATGCGAGCGACACGGATGTATGCAGATAAGCCCCGTTCTTTTCCTGTTAATGAGCGAAGCCGCACGATTTTTCTATCTTTGTCAAGTAATTACATTTGAAAGAGAAGAAAGAATGTGCCTGTGTGTTTCGTTCATTTCACAGTTAGGCTACTGCCGAACCCCCTATGCGTCCACCCGTGCGGCAACACAGCCACAGCCACCCGCGGCGCGCCCCCCAGAGCCTCGCCCAGAGCAGACCAGAGGGGGGGAATGATAAGGAAGTAGAGATGAAGTGGACGCAATAAAAGTGGAAGCGGCGAATCATTACCGCCGCAAAGCCGTAATGAAAAATAATAAGGCGCCGGTGATTAATTAGCTAAAGGGGTTACGGGTTTTATTGCCGGTGATGACTGATTGAAAGATCCGCCCCGCCCCCTCCGCTCCGCCCCTCCCCGCCTCAGCCCGAGCCCCAGGCCGCTTAATTGACTCCCGTGGTGTGAAGTCCCCTCGCTGGCTGCGCTGGCTGTGCTCTGCCGGTGGGTGCGACCACCGCTTTATCATTTTGAAAGACCTCTCATCTTCATCATATTGCTGGATCTCCCGCTCAAAGATATCCTCATTCCTTGAAACACAAGAGCCCGCAAAAGAGGCAACTTCCCCCGATAGGGATGGAGTGCAGAGACTCAAATAGAACGCCAATCAGCGACCATAGACGACGCATCCTCCTCAGGAGCGGCGAGCCGACTACCTCCACCCCCCTTCCCCCTTCCTCTCCTCGCTTCTTCTTCTCGCTCACCGGCGACCGTCAAGCCACGCGTCAAGCCAACGAAGCTGGTTTGGAAATAGCTCTCTGTCGATTGCGGTTTGCCCGTCCCACGGCTACCAACGAGGCTACGCGCGGACCGACGCGGATTTCTGGGAATGCCTTGGCGCGATGATGTCGGCAAGGGTGGTCCCTTGCGGAAGGGGGAGGGGGAGGGGGAAGCTCGAGCGTGTGACTGGCAGTGACGGACCGATAGCTTAACCCCTGCGCCCCAGGCCCCGGGCCCGACTGGCCGGCACGCCCCCTGGCACGGCGCGCAGGGTGTCCGTCCGTCGCGACGACGCCTCTCCCCGCGGTGCGGGCGGCGCGGCCTTCTTCACGTGACCTCGCGCGACGCTACCTGCTACTACCTATGACATTTGTCATGTCAATAAAGCCCTAACGTCATTCTTTTTTTCTGTTCGCAGGCAAAAAGTGGCGCAGCCTGACGCCGCAGGACCGGCGGCCGTTCGTGGAGGAGGCGGAGCGGCTGCGCGTGATCCACATGCAGGAGTACCCCAACTACAAGTACCGGCCGCGGAGGCGCAAGGTCTCGAAGCGCGCGGGCGGGCCGTCCCCGCCGCACGGCACCGCGTCCCCGCCCACGCCCCACGGGCCGCCGCCCACCCCGCGCAGGACCCCGCCCTCCGCCTCCGCGCCCCTCAAGACCTTCCAGCAGCAGTACGGCGGCTACCACGTGACGCCGTCGTCGCTGTCGCCCTACCACGGCTACGGCAAGTACACCCCGCTCATGCACACGCCCGAGGCGTCGCCGACGGGCAGCCCCGAGCCGGACGCGCTGCGCCTCGCCATGAACCGGGGGCACCCGGACAACCACCCGGGCTCCCCCGCCGCCCAGCAGCAGCAGCACCAGCAGCAACAGAAACAACAGCAGCAGCAGCAACAGCAGCAACAGCAGCAGCAGCAACAACAACAGCAGCAACAGCAACAACAGCAGCAGCAAGCCCAGTCAGCGCAGTCGCAAGGTGAGCGTGCGGTCAGCTCGACGGGTCATGTTCGTCTGGTTCGCCCTTGTGCCTCACGCCCTGCTTGTCCGTCCCCAGGAGGTGGAGGCCCTTCCCCAGACGGCGGAGGGGGCGGCGGCTCGTCCAAGGCCGAGGACGTGAGCACCTCCGCGCTGCCCACGCCCGAGATGTCCCCCATGGATCAGGACAAGGACAACTTCCAGTTCAGCAATGGTGGTGGCGGCGGCGGCGGAGGCAAGGCGGCCAAGGAGGACCCCTCGACGGCGAGGAGCAACTGCGCGCCTTACCGGACGCCGCCCGGCAGCGCCGCCTTCCGGCAGTACTCACTGTCCTACAATCAACAGCAGCAGCAACAGCAGCAGCAACACCAACAGCAACAGCAACAGCAGCAGCAACAGCAGCAACAGCAGCAGCACGAGGGGTCTGCTTACCAGCAGCACCAGTCCGCAATAGCAGCCATGGGTATCTCCAACGGGATGATGTTGATGTGCTCCAACCAAAGATTATTAGGTGAGTGTCGCCGAGACTCGGTGCGCCCCGGCCTGGCCAGTCTGCAGCAGCGGTGCCCAACAACTAACTCTTGTCCGCCTGCTGCAGGGTCGACGTACGAACACTCGGGGCTAGTGACGGGGACCTTCTACCCGCCCGTGGCCTCCTCCCAGGACCAGCAGTCCCTCCACTACTCGCGCTTCACGCCGACCTCTGCCGCGTCCAACACTCCCAGCTACGGCGCGGCGTCCCCCGCGGGCGGCGGCGGCGGCGGTGGCACCCAGACGGTGTCGTACGGCGCCTCGTCTCCCGGCGTCGTCACGCAGACCGTCTCGTACGGAGCGGCGTCACCCGCCGCCGGCAGCGTCCCCTACGGCGCCCCGTCGCCGGCCGCACCCTCCGCGCCGTACGGCGCCCCCTCACCGGCCGCGCCCGCCGCCTCGTACGGCAGCGCGTCGCCCGCCGCGGCCGCGGGCAGCTACGCGTGCCACTCGCCCGCCGCGCAGGACTACCCAGGTGAGGCGCCAGCATTCGAACCTCCATTATTATTGCCAGGAAAATGATTCGGCCGGATGTTTCCCTGTTCCCCTGCTCCCCCCTTGCTAAGGGCAGACTGGTCGCGACGCCCCCCGCGCCGTTCGGTTCGGCGCCGTTCCGTTCCGCGCGTTTCACGGCCGTTAGTCGATTGTGGCGGAAGGCTCTGGGCGGGGACGGATCGTGGAGGGCATCAGGCTGTGAGTGAGTGGCTGCTAACGCTGCCAACGCCGCCGGCTGTTGGTTTTCATGAACGCTTCGTGATCGATCGGAAAGAGGAGAGGAGACCGGACTGGATGGACAGAGCCGAACGGGGGGATAAGGTGGGGGAGGGG